CCCAAAACAGTAAGAACAACATTTTTAAGGCTATTGATAAGGAGCATGTATGAAAAAGAGAAAGAATTTTGAATACTTATTTAAACATTTCTTTTCAGCATTCAGCACTGATTCATGGAACCAAATCTATACTATGTTCATTTCCAGATTGTATTAAATAGTACAGCGCTGAACCTCATTCAGTGATAGATATACGGAGGTCAAACAGTTATGATCCCAGCATGTAGCATTCATCAAAAAATTTATGAAAAAAGTGTCAGTCATATTTATACAAATAAAGTGAGAAAACTGACAATGTGCAAAAGGATAATAATCCAAAGTGAAACAATGTGTAAAAAACCAACTGTTCAGTAGACAGAAAACATTTATCAAATATACCCCTTGAAAGTTAAAATAGAATGTGTTTAAATCTACAAAAGTGTTCAGAAGCATGTATCTGTGTGTAAATTAAACAACATATATCAAAAGAACACTCTGCATAAAAACTGCATGAAAAATATAAAAAGAAAACTCTGCATAAAAACTGTGTTAGTGATTGATTATTAATAAAATATATATATGTATGTGGGTGGTCAAGATTGACTGAGTCTGTAAAAGTCTTAAAACCCAAAAAAAGGGGGACCCCTCAGTGAAATCAGGTGTGTTTTCCAGTTCAGTGGTGTGTCCAACAAAAATCCAGGCAAAAAGACCAAGAAAATCCCCTCAAGGGAATGCACTCACCGGATCTCTGATGTTAAAGAGCCGTTTGTCTCGTCAGATGGAAACCGGAGCTGTGTATCCTCTTCTCCCGCTCAGTGAGACTCCAGGGAAAGAAAAACCTCCTCCGCATTTCGTCACACAGACGTTCTCAAGGGATGGCAGGTCTTGAGAACGTCTGTGTGATGAAACGCGTCGGGGGCGGGCCTATTTTCACGTCATCATTCCAGTCTAAGAAGTCACGCTTTAGTGACCAGCCGGCTTTTATATGATTTTACCTTAGCGCTGTTTTATACATTTTTTGACCTAATAAACTTATTACGCTATGTAAAATTTCACAGGTGTAAACAAAAGATCAGTTTAAAATAATTCGGGGCAGGTGGGCTGTTTATTGTAGAAGAGACATCACTCTCTTCTGCAATTATTACCCGACTACTTGCAATCTTCTGTAGAGTGTACACTTAGCTGCGCATCTTGGCACACCTTAGGCCCCATTGACACCTGCTACATGAAGTGTTTCCAGAAGCGCTTCAACACTTGACATTCAACCAGGTTATTTGCTAGTGCCTGTTTACATCTAAGCAATTTGCTGTCGCTCAGTGCTCAGAAATGTGCAAAAGCTGCGTTGCCTTTTGTGCCTAACAACTGTCTCCACCAATTAGTAACAGATGTGCAACAAAATGGGGGCTTGGTGCCAGAATGAATTAACTCCCATATGCATATTCGGTAGTGAAGTAATTCCCTCAATGGCCAATCAAGGTGGCTGAAGACCCGCACCTGGAAGAAAGATGTTGGCACAGCGAGCTTGCACAGTGCGTACATTGCATTGCTTGAGGAGGGGTGTTTGCAAATTGTAGTTCCACTTTAAAAGAAATCATGGGTATCATGACTAGGGATGAGCTTGGGTTTGGACCGAACCATGTCCAAACCACAGCTTTTCCAAACCCTGAAGCTACATGGGGCCACCCACCCAATCAGTTACGGGCTGGGGTGTTTCCCTCCCCACAGCTGCACATAAACATTTTTTATGAAATATTTTTTACTTTACTTTTAGGGGCTTCGAGGAAATATTAGGGGTCTAAACAAATCCCTGATATTTCCCTTTTAAAATAGAAAAAGAGATGGAGGACACAAAGTCCTCATCTCTCTTTCTGTATCTCCAGTTATAAATGAACAGTAATCCTCTATACTGAGTGTTCCTGTTCATTCATAACTTGTGGAGATAGCATGTTTACTATGTCCACAATCATGAATGAACAGGAGGTGATGTTGATCACTCCCATTAATTCCTAATTGAGGATATAGTAACCATACCATGTCCTCAATTATGTACAAACACTCAGCGATCACTGATTACTGAGTGTTTGTACTCGCTCTCCTTCCTGACAGCTGTCACAGGAGGCTGAGCAAGTGGTGCAGGGAGGAGAGCTCAGCCTCCTGTGACAGCGCTGGCTGTCTCCGCCCACACACCGCTCTGCCGGACTGTGACAGGAGGCTCAGCGGTGTGGGAGGAGAGACGCCAGCCGCTCACAGCGCTCTCCTCCCGCAGTGGTCGGCCGGCTGTCACTTTCTCTCCTCCCCGCTGGGAGACAGAGCAGCGCCCAGTGTGGAGGAAAGAAAGCAGGGATGCGCCGATGTACCGGCAGGAAAAAGGCACTTTCGGCATTTAGCCGAAAGTGCCATTTTCGGACGATACGTTTCGGCAGCCGATATATCGGTGCATCCCTACTTAAGAGATATATACACAAATATATATATATCATAATTATACATGAAAAAACAGAAATCCCAAAGTGCATCCAAAATATTATCTATATATACGGTATATTATCTATATAAAGTGTATATATATATATAACATATCAACCAATGGTGGTATATTATTCATCTAAACAGATAAAAGTGCTCACTATAATCCTCTATATATAAATTAATGTATTGAAGCCTATACAGTCCACTAAAACGTGCCAAAAGAAATCAATATCCAAAAGGTGAATAAATCCAGACGTGAATGGGTACAAATATATCCACTTCCCCTTTAATAGGTGCCGTGCTTCACCATCCAAAACAGTGCCTTGTTCCCGGGTGATCCACATACATTCTGCAATCACCAGATCTTCACAACCCTCTTAAAATAAGATGGTCATAGACAGCAAGATATAATGATCCTCCGATTAATAAACCACAAGTGATCCTCCGTTCCTTATATTCAAACCGATTGGTTATCCGCATATACTCCTCCGGCTGGTATTTCACATCTCATAGAAAACTTTCCATCATCAGTAAAATGCGCTCATGGTGTAATATTTTAAAATCCCATTATTACATTTTTTTTAAACTACTCACATTCAACATAAGGAATATCGATCTCAACAATAGGGACAATTGGTGTGCTCTTCCTCTCCTCTGAACTTCCTGAACAGGGTTTTAGATTGTAAGCCCTCACGGGCAGGGCCCTCGTTACCATCTTGTCTTGAATTGTATTGTGATTGTAACGTTTCCTTATATTGTACAGAGCTGTGCAAACTGTTGGCGCTATATAAATCCTGTGTAATAATAATAATAATGTCAGCATGTGCCCGCCTAACTGACGTGTTTCGTCACAAAGGACTTCCTCCTCTTTAAATGATGTTTCACCCATATTCAGCCACATTTCCCCACCCCACTTACCTGAATTGGTTCTTATCCCCACAGGTTCCTGTAATTTTTAGAATTTGGCAGGTCTCTGAATTTGCCACCGCAGCAGAGGGACTTGAAGTTATCAAAGGAACAATGGAAGTGCAGTGACATCATCGCACTTGTAGTATATTGCTAACTTTCTCCTGTCCCATAACAAAGTGGGTACCTCAGCACAGACAGGGGCTGGAGGAAGAGTCTGCAGGAGCCAGAGCATTGTACCAATCATCCACTGGTCACGGTAACAATGCTTTGCAGACCCAGTTGAAAAAAATAAATAATAACAATGAATGCACATTTTTTTTCTTTTATAAGAGCATGTTCACAGATACAGCGGTGACTGGTGTTTTTCCACACCAGATCAATGCCAATCACCACAAGGGCACATAGAAAAGAACTGCTTTCTATGCGCCCTATTTACACAACGCAGGTGTGATGTGCTGTGGTGAAATGCAAAAATACTGCATTTTTCCACAGTGCACTGGATGCCACCATACCACAGTTCATCAAAAAGCGGTCGTGTGGAGACGTGAATAGAGTATGCACTTTGTACAATGTAAACAGCGCCTTGCATTGTAACAACACAAGGCACCACGGCTCACCGTTGTCACCCAACAGACACTAGTCCCATGGCAAAATGCAGCGTTTTAACTTGCTGCTAGTGTGAACAAGCCCTCGGGACCTGTTCACACCATAGCATTGTGTTAATCGCACAATACCATGCATTTAAAGGAGAACTATGGGGTTAGGACTTTTCCCCATTGTTCTCCTTAGGGTAACGGGAGGGCTCAGTATACCGCAATGCCGCAGCGGATCCCGACAATTATGTCTGGATCTGCCCAGCTGCGTGAGTGACAGCTGGCTCTGCCTATCTAGAGGCAGAGCCAGCTGTACCCGCCCCCTCCCCGGTCCGTTCCGCCAGTCAGCGCTGGAGGATCGGAGCGGGGAATCCAGTCCCTCCAGTCACGACAGAGAGCTGACATGATCGAGAAGGGAGCGAACGCCGGTATGTGTTCGCTCACTTCCCGATCTACTGAGCCGACCTGTGACAGTTTCATTGTCACAGGTCGGCTAGAACTATGAGGATGAGTGAAAAGCACTCACCTCATAGTTCTCCTTTAACGCATGCTATTTCACCTAGCAAGCAATACCATGTGCTAGGTGCATTGCAATTCATTGGCATTGCACCCCAATGCATCTCGCAATGGCCATGTGTTAAAAAAAGTAGTGCATGCACTACTTTTTTTTTCACTGCGACGCATAGTATTGTGGTACCAGGCACTGTACTGCAACACACAGCCACTGGGAGGTGTTGGGTGCCATTGAAATGAATTGCAATGCATCTAACGCACAGTAATGCACACTAGGCGCGTTGTGCAACAGCTTGCAGTAACGCAGCCTTATGGTATGACCAGGCCCTCAATGTGTGTACAATTTTATTTTAACGTTGGACCATGCCTTTAAAATGTATTGAAACTATTAATTCACCATAGCAGCCAGGAAATGGCAGCTTACACTCTGCCATAGTACAGCTTCATCCAGCAATTGTTAAACTACCATTATATAGGTTGCACACATCACTAACAATACAGCCATTAAAAGTGATTTTCATTTACACATCCTACATCACGCACCGAAGTGGTGATAAAGTGGGCGTGTCGTATGCAAATATAGCCACATGACCAATGATAGCAAATTGCAGGGAGCGCTCATTTAACAAGCGTTACGCCGATTGAAGCGTTGTCGGCCATCTTGGACTCGGGAGCAGAACAACTCACTAATTTGCGCTCTTTTAAATCATTGTAATCACCCCAGCGGGAGGTCTAAAGCCACCCCGACAACCATACAACTGAAACAGGGAGGCCTAAAAGACTCTGGTAACTTCCCGGTGTAGAAGACCCACTGCCAGCCTAAGAACGCTCCTAAAAAACACGCGAGGCGGTAGGAGCGGGCAAGGATGGTGCAATCCTGTTCTGCTTACGGCTGCAAGAACCGCTACGACAAGGATAAACCCATCTCCTTTCACAAGTGAGTACAGAGCGAACGGCTCGCACGTCGCCTGTTAGGCTAACAGTTGAAACTAGTGCTGGTCCCCGCAAAGAGAACAGCGCATGCGCCCTCACGCGAGCCGCTCCTTCTAGGGGAGCGCAAGAGCCGGTGACGAGGAGGAATGCGCGAGCCCGAGCTGTTGCTCTGCTGCGCGCTCCCTCCACTTTATCTCTATGCATGCCTGAGTAACGTGGCATTGCTATGAGTAGTTCACTTACTAATTTGTATACTACAGAAAAAGTGTTAAAAAAATAAAATATATATGATATTGTTGAATTATTTATAAAAAGTTATACACATTTTTGTGTTGGGCTATGTAGAAATGCAGCATTATAGTTAAAGAAAAAAGTTTAAAAAAAAACTTTTACCAGGGACCTGTTCAGTTCCTTAGCCAAGTGCTGAGTAGCTGTTCTGCAGCACTTCAGTTGGCTGGAGTAGCTTCACTGAACACTCTGGCTGCACAGTGCAAAGCAAAATGGCGGAAACAAAGGATAATATGTTTGACTAATAAATACTATTTTCCAATGAATATTTGGTGTGCTCATCCACCAAAACATAAAATGTGTATGTTCCCACACTGAATTGTGATTTTCTCCATCAGGGTTCAGGCACCCTTCTACAGATGTGCCAGGTGTGCCAACAGTTACAATGGCCGCTGGTGATCTGTCCCCACCTTCTCCGTCACTCAGCGCTCTACATTCACATAGACTTCCGCTGTGAGTGCTAAGTTAGCAGTGCTGACTTGCAGCACAGCGCTCAGCGGCGGTTTGCTAACTCAGCACTCGCATCGGCTGAGCAACTGAACGCGCCTCTGGCTTCCATGCTGGAAAGGGTGCTATTACCATCCTTCCATCGATAAACTGGTAACCCTGAGTATCTCATATCTTGCAAAAAGCAACTTTAGGCCCCGTTCACACATACAGCGCTGACCCGCGTTCCACCGTATCAGATCAATGCAGGTTACCGCTAGAGTATATAGACTTTTGTGTCCTGTTCAAACCACAATAGGGCTGCAACTAATGATTATTTTCATAATCGATTAGTTGGCCGATTTCTTTCAATTTTTTTTTGATCAGATAAAAAGTATTTAATAAATACCATCCTTGATTTTAAAATAAAATACACAAATGCAGTGTTACAAACAAAGTTTACTTCAGAATAAAACTGCACGCACCATTTTGTGGAATTGCACTGCACTGGAATGCACACCTTATATCGTTGTCAGGAAAAGGGTTAAAGTGCAACTAAAGCCAAAAAACTTTTTTTTTTTTGTTATTGTTTGTTATTATTTTGGATGGAGTGGAGAGGGATTAAAACCCTATCAGGTGTTCATTGCTGTCTGCGTCTCCGAATAGGGACATTCACTTTCTGTATTTGTCCTGGTGAAGGTGAAAGAAAATCCCAATTTTTGGCTTGTCATCAACCCTGCTGACCTCCAGGGATTTCCTTTTACTTTGAAGGGATTTGGTCTCGCTTCATTTTGTGGCTTTTGGATAGAAAGTGAACGGAAATCTGCCCAATGGGTAACAGATGGCCAAAAAAAAGCTGACGGGTTATAACCCTTCCTTACTCTATCCAAAACTGAAAAAAAAAAAATTTGATTTCAGTTCTACTTTAAGGGCTTGTTCACACCAAATGCAGAGCAGAGTTTCTGCACACGCAGGGCAGTGGGTTTTTGATGCGTTTTTGATGCGTTTTTGGTAACAAACAAAAAAAAAACTACTTTTTTTTAAAGTTTAGAATGGGCTTTTAGTCTACAGGGCGTCTACATGCGTTTTTGATGCGTTTGCATGTGTTCCAGAGCAGGTGAAATAGGTCTTGCTGCAGTTTTTTTACATGCTCTGGAACTGAACGCTGCGGTGTGAACTAAAGCCCAAAATACCATTGGAATACATTGGACGCAGTTTTGATCCGGTCTGTAACTGCTCTGCTCCTGGAACACGCTTGGTGTGAACAAGGCCTAAGATACTCTTCGATTCTAGGATCTCACCAGAAAGGCCCTTGATGTAGCCCTCCTCAGTGTGGAAGTGGGGTAAGGTGCAAGGTCCACTTTAGGCAGACCATTTGGAATTAATAGCAGCAGGACAAAATGGACTATATTACAGTTTTTCAGTTATTTAAAATCGATAGTGCAGGACGTTATATGTGTTGTGGTGCGCTGACATGCTTTGGCTACCACCGCACATTGTTTTGGGGTGCCCATCAGGACAGAGATGCCTTTTAATGTCTATTTACTTACCCACTTTTATTCCCCTTTCTTGTGCTTCCCTGACAATCCATTCCTTTGCCATCCCAGTCCTGACACAGAGCTTACACAGGGTTGTTGACGTGTCCTTCAAGTGACAATGTTGGCTGCCAGGTCTGAGAACTGCATCATGAGAGGAGGTTGCATGTTTTCTCCCCATACCCAGGTATTTCACAGCCGCTCTGAGGAAGAGAGGGAACGATAAGTGGCTTTGGGGGCATAGTGATAGAGTCTTTATTCCACTATAGGGCCTATTCACGCAAGGCTTTTATGTCTGGTTGTGGATTCTAATTGTGGATGCAAATTCTTGCAGCAGAAATCACATGTGGTTCCGGCTAGCGGTGGCTGCTCAGCCTGTACAAAGCAATGACAGTCTGACAGGAGCCGCGGCTGTCCGCCGCTATCTGCATATCCAGCCCTATGTCCAGGGTCGGACACCTGTCCTTAGCCGCAGGTAACCTCTGGATGTGCTGATACATGCAGATAGCGGTGGACAGCTGTAACTACTGTCAACCTGTCGTTGCTTTGTGCAGGATGAGCTGCTGGAGCCACCTGTGATTCCTGCTGCAAGAATCCGCTGATTTTTGCCACAGGAATCCGCATCCAGACCCGCATGAATGAGGCTTAACTGAACCGTGATATAGATAGATATTATCTATCCACACCATACACTAAGGCCTCATTCACACTAGAAACTGCCGGCACGTACAGCTCCATGCTGCGTGCACAGCCGTATCGGGCAGCTCCCGGGAAGGACCGGTGCTGCGTGTGATTAGTACGCAGCCCCTGTCCTTCTCTATGGGAGTATGCGGCCATACGCCGCCCTACACTCTCCCCGAGTGCAGGTCGAGCCGGGACACCCGCACATGACGCAGACAGGATCTATCCTGTCAGGGTACGAGTATGGACACCCGCACAGACGTGCAGGGCGGGTGAGCGTAGGGGGGCGTATGGCCACATACTCCCATAGAGAAAGGACAGGAGCTGCATACTAATCACACGCAGCACCTGTCCTTCCCGGGAGCTGCCCGATACGGCTGTGCACGCAGCACAGAGCTGTACGTGCCGGCCTTTTCTCGTGTGAATGAGGCCTAAGGGTTAGAATGTACTGTATATCTTACAAAAAAAAAGAAAACCAGTGTATAAACATTCACCTAGAGAGAACAGATGCTCCGTTTTGTGCTGCATGCTGTAACATAGTCAATGCTATTGGATTTTTTCTGTGTTAGAATGTTTAATAACAATGCATTTATTTTCTACCTCCTTCACAGGTTTCCACTGACGAGACCTCTCCTGTGCAAGAAATGGGAAGCTGCAGTTAGGAGAGCCGACTTTAAGCCAACTAAGTATAGTAGTATCTGCTCTGACCACTTTACACCAGACAGCTTTAAAAGAGCCTGCAATAATAAACTTCTGAAGGATAATGCAGTTCCAACTGTGTTCTCTTACACCGAGATCAAGCCAACAGTAAGTTGAATGGTTTGCACTTCTATCTCTTTATCAGTTTTTATTTATCTCCGTTGGTTACTAGAGAGATTAGAATTATTATTAGTGTTTTTGAGGGCTTATTCAGATCTATGCATTGCGGTAACATTTTGCAAAACGCTCCTTACTGTAGTGCACCTATTGTGGTGATCTGCAATACCTTACATTTTAAATGGCACCCCAGGGCCTTAATACAGTGCACCCCCAACACACCTGTATTTACATTTTTCAGGTATCTTCTTGCCAGTTATGTGACATGCTGGGTCCTCTTCTTCCTCAGTCCTCCTCCTGACACTGGCTGGTCCTGAATGATGCAGAGAGCAGCACTAATGTGATGACACATATGATGCTCTCTGCAGCAAATGCCTGGGGGGACATAACCAAAAATTAGCCCAGAGTTGAGCTTTAATCACAAGGTACATTAACCACTTGCAGACCGGGGTGTTTATACCCACTTCCTGGCCAGGCCATTTTAAAGTATTCAGCGCTGCAGTACTTTGACATTTATTCCGTCATGCAACGCTGTACTGAAATGAATTTTATACAATTTTTGGGGACAGATAGAGCTTTCTTTTGGAGATATTCAGTCACCACTGGGGGTTTTATTTTGTACTATTTTAAGGAACAATTACTGACAACATTATGTTATAATACAATTATTATTACCCAATTATTTGGTCAAATAAAAAATACGTGGTTACATTGGGTAAATAGACAACAAACATGTCAAGCTTTAAACTTGCGTGAACGTCCGCATTCTGATGCCGGAGAGGGGACCGGAGGGAGATCGTGTACCGATCTCCCTCTGATCCCCTGTCACAGAACCACTATGCTGGTTCCGGGCTCGCACCGTGCACAGCGGAGCCCGGGACCAGCGGGAGGGGGGGCCGCGGGGGAGTGGCCAAATGGACCGGCACCTTATGGGGATGGGCGTTTATTGTACATTTGTTGACACAACACAGCATAGAGATGTGAAAGTCCACAAAATATAAAAGGATTAGTAGTTTTGACTAGACCTTCTAAATATTCAGCCACAGGGTAGAATCTGCTGTTAGCCTGTTAGAACTAATGTGACCAAAGATGGGTAAATATTTTGTTTTGTCCAAACAATTTAATATTGGAAGGTTCTCTAAAGAAGTACCAGCTAGGACAATGGATTAATTTTACCTGAAGCTGTTGTTTTTATGGGAAAAATAAAAAAACTATTATCGTAATGTGTCCTTAACTGTAACTATTGGCAACAATAAAAAAAAATGTCATATACTGTATGATGCAGTCTGTCACTAGCAATAACAGATCAGTTTGTTTTTCAGATTTGCCTCAGAGAACAGTTTTGTTTTACTGGGTGGGCTGTTGTTTCTGCCAGTATAACTGTTGATTTTCTGCTACCTTGAACAGCCCAAGCTGTCCAGGAAAAGTGGTAGTGAGAGGGGTTGAAAAGAACCATTTAACACTAACATGCATGCTTACAGTGCTCACCTTTTTATTCATGTGGTATACACCTGTGTTAGGAACCGCATACAAAGGGGTTGATAAAGGTAAAGGCAAATACGCTGTTAACTTTGCAAGGGCATTTGCACTTAGTAGAGGATGTTTGTCCTTAGTTTAGTGAATGAGGGGAATCTCTACTGACTTCCATTACCCAAAATGCTGGGTTTTGTTTTGTTTTTATTTTCCTTGCACTTGATTGGGTATTTTTAACAAAGTGAAGTTACACCACATTCACTAAGCTAAGGGAAAGTTTCCCTGCAAAGTGCAAATTCCTTTGCAAAGTGAACAACCTATTTGCTTTAGTGAATCAACCACAAATGTTAGCTGATATTAGGCTTTAATTTGTGTGTCACTTACTTAAAGTCCATCCAAAATGACAAGTCAGTCTAGGAATACCCTGCCCTCAAGGTGACAATGCTGATGTGCAATTTTACTGCAGAAATGAACATCACTGTCCTAAAAAAATGAAAAAAAAGAATCTACTGGTAGGGTAGGATCAGTAGGTAATAAATAATACTTTTTTTAAAGCAACTCCTGGAAGCTCCTGAATTTGCTTTGATATCAGCTTCCTGTAATCCCATGTAAAGCAGCACTGGGATAGGTAAGGTCAGCATTGTGAGCTAGTCCGGTTGTGCAGTGCAGATGTGTTGACAGTGAACATGCTGACAGGTGGAAATAATAGACATGTTTACTGTGGGACAAATTCTCTGATATTAAGCCAGGGATTTAGACCTTGTAAATATTCAGCCACAGGGTAGAATCTGCTGTTGGCCTGTTAGGCCTGGTTCACACCCGGGCGTTTTGTAGCGCATTCCTACGCTCTGCAAAACGCTCAAACACCGAAATCCCATTATTTCCTATGGGTATGGTTCACGCCTGGGCATATTACAGGCCGTATGAACGCACTAGAAAACGCCCTACGCCCAAAGAAGTACAGGAGCTTCTGTGGGGCATATTTGCCACGTGTATCCATTGGGAAACATCCAGGTAGCCCTCGGAAACGCGCGTTTGTCGCGAATCGCGGTAAAAACGCGCGGCACGAAACGCGCATATTCGATACGCCTAGGTGTGAACCCAGCCTTAGAGCTAATGTGACCAAAGATGGGTAAATATTTTGTCTAGCCTAGCCTGCAAATAACAATACAATGAGATGTTTGTTATATCTTGCTATAGTTTCTCAACAAGGATGATCCCAAAATCACTCTAGAAATGTACCCCTAATGTCAACTGTATTTCCTATTGTGTCTCTGGTCCTAGGCTGTTCCTTTGTTTTTATAAAGCTGTAGTTCTAGGAAATTTTGTTTTCATGATATGTTTTTATTCCTGTTTGAAAACGATACGTTTGATTAATTTTTTCTTTCAATGTAGAGTGTCTCTGTGAAAAAGGAGGAGCAAAGTATGCCAGTACCTCCTTCTGTTCCCGAAATGGACCCTGCTATTGGATTATTGCTCCCTCCTCTATACACACCCAGTCATATAGCAGTCATTTGTGATCACAATTACACAGTGGAGGATACAGTGCATCAGAGAAGGCGAATACAACAATTGGAAGAGCAAGTTGACAAACTCAGGAAAAAGCTTCGAATTGCAAACCAGAGATGCAGAAGACAAGAACGCAACCTGGAAAAACTTGAAAGAGAGGTTTCCGATTACAGAAATGGAACTGGCATTGTGCTTCTCCCCAGCAATTATTTTGAACTTTATAATGAAAGTGAAACTGAAACAACTGAAGCCCAAACAATTATCATCTGATTCTTTAACATGTTTATTTGATAAGAGTATAGGATACATGACATGAAAGTCCCAATAATGTTGCTCATCTTTTGGTTCATAGAGGTTCTAATATGTTTAATAAACAGACTTGGACCAACTCCTGTTTTGTAAGAACTAATGGTATGTCAGCATTTGGTATTTCAATAGTACATGGCAAACTGATTTTTTTTTTTTTTCTTTTTTCAATCTTAAAATACATGACATTAATAGGTGCTTATATACCTCACTATTGCACTGTTCAGTAAAACCTTTTACTTCTGTAAAAAAATAAAATAATTTCCTCATCAGTTGTGAAGTAATTTAAATGTAGTTGAAACTTTAATTCTAGAGTATGCTTCCATGGTTACGGAGTAAGTAGGTAGTTAGCCAGCATGCTTCTGTATACCTGCAGTCATATCTAAGAGAAATCAGTAAAACTAAACTTGTATATCTTCTCATAAAAAAGTGAGATTAACTAGCTTGATTTGTGGTCACCTTTACATTGGGCATAATATATAAAAACCTGAGAAAGTCACAACTTTAGATAGGTACCAGCTTTTAAAGCTTATTGCCAGAAATGTGGCCTCCCATTACCCTTTACCCCGCTACCCATCTTGCAATGCCATTAGGGATTTGTTGTTCCACCACCAGAGTGCCGAGGTTGCCTACCCTTGGCGTATGGTAAGGGTTTGTCTTATCAAGTATCTAACTGTGGCATCACATTTCTAATTATATTGGTCAATACACTGTCAAAGATGTACCACAATCTAATGCAAAAGGATCCATTTGGAAATTGTTGTGCATGTAATGTTTCACAACTGTTGTCTCAAGTCCAAAATGTAAATATATTGTTTCAGGTGATCTTTAGTTTCTAATGTTGGCATATGTGCAAATTTCCATATTGAGCACAAAAATAAATCTTTGCTTGCTCAAGTATATTCATTCGAAATTGGACATATTCTGTTTTTTTTTTGTTTTTTTTTTGGTGAGTTCAACATTTAAAATGTGATTTGTATATGAAATAAAAGTTATTTGTCTAGTGGCTCTCTAGAATATTTCTAAAATCATTTTCCAGTTATGTACCTTTTTAACTTTCTTTCCCCCTTTTTCATTGGGCACTATTAACAAAGTTTTTCGGGTATTCAGACAATAAATCTATCAGTATAAAATATATTTTGTCAGTATCTTTTTTTTTTTTTTTCTGACTCCAGTAGTAGTGCCTGGCTCCCTTCCTACCATTATAAGTGTTTCATCTGTTTTACTATGGGGTCTATTCACGAAGGATCTAGCCGTAGCTTCGGCCCCAGGACTTCTTCGGTTCTGGGGCCGAAGCAGGCCAAGTGGCCGGCCGACAGCCTACTTCTGACAGCTGGGCGGAGCCAGCCGTGATCTTACGGCTGGCTCCGGCAACTTGCAGAGAGATCAGTGTCCCTGGTTACCAGCTAACCAGGGACACTGATCTCCAGACAGCAAACTCTCCCGAGCGCTCAGGGAGTCTCCAGCTCCCGGCCGCCAAGGAGAGAAACACTGCTTTTTCTTTTTTTTTTCTTTATTCTGACATGGAGCCGTGTCAGAATAGAGAAAAAAAAAACACATTTTGGCCATAGGAATGCATTACTAGATTCCTATTGGCTATTTCAATTTTCAATAGCAAACTAGCATTGCACCCGCCATCTGCTGCAGTTCTCCATCAGGTCCCCACTACTGATTGACAGCAGCAGAGGGCGGGTACAATAGCTAGTTTGTTATTGGCTATTGCAAATTGAAATAGCCAATAGGAATCTAGCTATTCATTCCCATGTTGTGTGTGTGTGTTTTGTTTTTTTCTGACGGCAGAAGCTGTCAGAAAACAACAACAAAAAAACCAGCAGATAGCAGTAATTCTACTGATCCAGCATGTTCTGGGCTGAAAATTATGTATTCCAGTAATTGGCCAATTGTGGATCGGCCACACTAGCTGGGCATAAAGAGGTGGCTACTGTAGTTCATTTATGTGAGACATGTACATCTATGGCCAAAAAGTTTTTTGTTTTTTTTTTTCTATTCTGACACAACTCCGTGTCAGAATAAAGAGGGGAAAAAAAGAAAAAGCAGTGTTTGTCTCCTTGGCGGCCGGGAGCGGGAGACTCCCGGAGCGCCCGGGGGAGTTTTTTGTTTACAGAACCGTACAGCAGTGTGAAGCCTGCCGGAGGTTCGGCTTAGCCGATCCAGATGTTGGGTCGGCTGAGTCGAACTCCTGCACTTCGGGTCGGCTGAACATGCTGTGCATGTTAGGCCGAAACGAAGCCAGCCTATGTACGGCTGAAATCAGCCCTATCAGCCTGAAGTGAATAGCCGAACAGCATTCGGCTCACTTCGCTTTAGGTCGGTCATTCACTCGGCTTACTCACAGCTTAGTGAATAGACCCCTATGTCTTGGGGTGAACTTGTGCAGTTAAAGTAGTATAAAATATTTTTGTTACTGCTAGTAAGCCGTAGATACAGTATATGCTCCAACATAAAAAAAAAAAAAGTTGGCAAATACCAACTCCCTTACCTGTGTCAGCTCCACTTGCTCCCAGCTGCAGAAGTCACGGGTCCCGACCGCTGTGGAGGAGGAAGCGTGGGTGGGCGCAGGGCCGGCCTTAGGGGTGTGCGAGCTGCCATGGTAACAAGGGCGCCGTGCGGCCGTCACAGCTCGTCCTAGGACAAACACTGGAGCGATCGTCTGATCACTCCAGTGTTTGTAAATAACTGGGGACACATAGTGCTATGTGTCCCCAGTTATGAATGAACAACATGTGATTTACATCACAGCCCGTTCATTCAAGATTTCCTCAATGGGGAGAAGCACTCAGTACAGAGGCTCCTCCCCATTCAGGAACAGTAAGTATTTGAATGGGAAGCCTCTGTACTCCCCATTCATTGAGTGCTGAGGCTGTAGATAAAGAAATTGAGGATTTGGTGTCCTCAATTTCTTTTCTATTTTACAAGGTAAATGTCAGGAGTCAGGGGTCTGTTTGGACCCCTAATATTTCCCCGAAGCCAACCCCCCCCCCACACAGTAAAAAATAAATAAATAATAAACAAAATTTAAAAAAGTGAAAAAAATATTTTAAAAAAGTGAAAACTGCTTCAACTATTTCCTACTTTATTCAAACATGTTACAAAATAGCTTTACATACACTTTAAAGGAAAATATTTGGCTGAGGCAAAATTCAGGCTTACTTATTGTCAAAGAGTCAAAACCATATTCCAACGTCATCCATTGCATCCATTGTACTTCAGCTACTTATGTGTGATCATTGCCAGAAAGCAAAAGTAGCTAGTGACGCAAATAGCTATTCTTATTTAAATGAACTGAGCTCAGAGAGCACTGTATAGCATGAGTCATGAAAAATACGAGGACATCCAAGTGTGTTACTGTTACCATCTGTATCAAGAGGGCACATAATAAATGTGAATGCCAGCAAGACATACATCTTATTATACAAATTACCTTCAATGAATACAAGCAATAAGTCTTCATTCAACAGTACTGATCTGCTTTCAGGATACTGAAAGAGACACGTAAGAACAATACAACCTTCAACCAGTCCTAACTTACCATTTTCAAATATCAGTATTAACTTTAAGATGGAGAGAAGGGAGTGAGAGAAAGCCACTAAGGACTGCTAGCATACAAAACAGCAGCATAATATAATATCATAGCCATTTAGGATAACGTACACTTGTACAGTGGTGTTATACATGTTCATTTAATATTGTCCAGATGTAAGGAGAAGTCTAGGAATTATCTTCAGATTGAAGTAGGTAAGTGTAATGTGTTGATTACACTTATGTGTGGACTTTTGTGAGATGCATCTCTTCGAAAACTCTGAAGTGTCAAAGTTTGGCCTTCTAGAACGCCTCCATTCAGCCATTGTAGGAGGGTGTAGATATGTTCCAGTGGGGGTTTGTGTTTTTTCCCTATGACACAGTCCGGGGAATTTATCAAAACTGGAGCAGAAGAATCTGGAGCAGTTGCCTATGGCTATGCTGCATGCACTATTTTTTCTCACCGCACCGGACCGGTACGCAGGCATTGATGTGTCACGAGTTTGGGAAAGGACGATCGCACTGCAGCCCGAAGGCGTGGCTGCAGTGCCACTGACTTCAATGCACTGCCACACCCCCTCCCGTACCAAAACACAGGGAGCTGGCCAGGATGTGATCCAGTGTGTTCCGGCACCGAATCGGGCCAGAATGCAGTGGGGCTGGTGTAGCTAATATAAAAGAGGTGTTTCTTAGTAAACCACATTTGTGAGCTAAACTTGAGATTATTTGAAACCTCAGGTTGTGGAGACTGAATGACCTGTTATGACAAAATACACATTGGGCGGGATTTATCAAAACCAGAGCAGACAAAATCTGGAGCAGTTGCCTGTGGCTACCGATCTGCTTCTCTCTTCAGTTTGTTCAGTTAAGGTTTGAAAATGAAAGATGGATGCTGATTGGTTGCCGTGCACAGCTGTTCCAGATTTTGTCTACTCCAGTTTTGATAAATTACCCTCAGTGTATTTTAGCTCCAACATGCAAAAATGTAAAGAGCTTATCATGAACAAAATGAACAGCTTATTCAAAAATAAAATAACAACCAGCGTTTGCTACAGAATCAATATAGAGATTTTCTCCACAATACTTTTTATGCCATTAGGTGGCAGCAAATATGGCTGGCGTTAAGCCACTTCCTCTAAACCCTAAACCCTGGTCATCCTGGGCCCACCAAAAGCCTATGACTGGACAGTGAAAGGAGAAGCAGTACATAGATGAGCTGATCTCTCTGGCAGTCTGCTTTCTCTTCCTATCAGTGTGCTTCTAGTCAGCACGTAGACGGATTGACTCCTTGTTTCAGGTACTTACACTGCTTGCAATGACAAAATACATTTAATGATGTGTTTTTATCTGCCTAGAATCCAGGCAAACACTATATTAATAACTGAAAATATGCGCTCACTAAATGCACAGTAATCGCATTAGTGCATAAAGCCCTGTTATTTGTTCCACTGACATCATCAAGTACTTTACTTTATCCAGTGAAAATCTGCAATGAGTGTAGTAAACCTTGGAAACAAATCACATTTCAACATTCATCAATTTGTACCTATCAGAACAATTAAAGATTATTTCTGTCTGGATCCCGTGGGCTAGTACACTTTAAGTAATGCCATCTGCCTCAATTAATAAATAAAAGGGAGTCTGGCTAATGTTATAAGGCAAAGTGCAATAGAATCGAGTAAGATTCAGTTTACATTGATCTGACTACATTAAATGGATGAAGGATTAAGTATGGTCGCTATGGGTTTCTGCACTAGGCATGAACAGTATATGGACAGTAATCTTTGCATGGATTCTAAATAAGACTAAAGTGGAAGTAAAGGAAAACTTTTTTTTAAATTGCTGATCAGAGATAAGCTGGCCATACACTAGTAGATTTCCGAACGAAAGATCTTTCTTTACAAATGTAAGATCTTTCTTTGCCACTCTATAATGCCATCAGGCACTTGACGAATGTCAAACAAAATCTGGTTTTATTTTAACATTTCATTTTGGAATGAATGGAGTTTCCCGAGTGAAAACCACATTCACTGTTAGAATTTTGTTGGTTCGAGAAAAAATTTCCATCCTGCTCCTTCGAGTTTTTTTGTCACTACAGTCAAAATCAATTGTCGATTTGACCCAATCAACTAACAGAAAGTCGACCCCATCAACTAAGTACGAAAGTTAGTTTGGAATTCTACTAGTGTATGGCCAGCTTAAGTCTCTTCTACCATAACAGCTCAGAACAGGCATGCCAAGTTACTTCACGCCGTCCCGCCAATCAAGAGGCCAAAGACAACGAACCCAAAGACAACGAACCCAGAAGAGAACTGAGCCGGAGATGAAAGCTCCAGAGAGGGAGGATCACGGCACTAGACGGGATTGCTTTGGCAGGTAAAACTGCCATAATGTGCTAATATACTGTGCATAGAAGCATCATGGGCTAAAGCTTCTGGGGTTTTTTAAAGCAGAACTCTGAGCAAAAATGTTCTTAACTCTTGCAGTAGGGCTACCCCCACACTGCAAGGGTTAAGTGCTCAGGGTAAAAAACAAAAGTTATACTCACCCGGTCCTTGCTCTTAGACCGGTCTCTGGAGCCCCTCTCCCTTTCCGCTGCAGTGGTCTAAACTCCCTGGGTCATCACATTCTACAGGTTGTGAGGACATTGAGGGACACACCATTGCTACAGCAGTCATGTAGGAGGGCGCTCTGTCACAGCTCTATCACAGCTGGCCGGCTCGGGGGATCGGGTGAGTATAAATCTGTTATTTTTGACCCTAGGCAAAAATGAGCACTTAACCCTTGCAGTGCGGGGGTAACCCCATTGTAAGGCTTAATAAAAAATTTACCCGGAGTTGTTCTTTATTGTCACTTTTTTACCGCTCTAAATAAGACCATTGCTACTAGAGACCAATCGCCACAATGGCAATTTTGATGTAATTAGCAGTTGCAGGAGCCGTGCATCTGTAAATCATCGGTAATCACATTGCTCCAACCAAGTCCCTAATAATTTATTTTGTGATCAAGACTGACGCCATCCAACAAAAAACAATTAATTAGAGGCAAGAGTAGCAACATGTTTGATTTTTAGCAATCACAGTAAACATAAGCAGATAGCAAGTTAAATCAAATACAATTTCTAGTCACCCAGCTTGTGCTATTGAAAATCTTAACCTCATCACCTATATGCAAACGCAGCCATGGGGTTCAGTGATGTGCAATGCATAGGTTTAACTGTAGATGTCACTCCCAAGCCTTCCTAATCAGTAGTTGTAGCTTTGTTGCGAGTTCAGTTATACACAAACATAGGTTGCCAACCGGTTGCCATTGTTAGACCTTGGGGAGGGGCAGGACTACAATCAGAAGCTGGGACATTTCAGCCAACAAATACTGTAATGCAACTGAGGACCGAAATAACTTTATGATGTTGCAGGAACATCAATTCAGCTTCAACTTTTTTTAACTTTGAAACCCAAACATGTGAGTTTAATATTGGAAGGTGCAAGACAAGGAAGTAAGAGGATGAAACCCTTGGCTTTTTAAAAAGAAAAATTTGACTTTTGAAAAGTCCGTCTGATTTGTCAAAATGACGGACATATTACGTTGCCCGAGTTGCAGTATGACTTTTAAATCTTCGCTATTACTTGAAAAACACAGAGAGAAGTTCTGTATTGGTTCAGACACTGGAAAAGTAAGAGAAACGCGGACACCCCAGGACATGGTAACTGCAATTATAACCTTGACTTGATAGCGCTTTTACTACTACTTATGATTTGTTTAAATGTACGCGTATGCTGGAAATGGCCGTGCACCAACTGAAAGTTATTGTATTCTCTTTCCATTCATATTTTGATAATGCCTTTTTTGCGTTCAAAGTGTATATCCAGCCAAACATTTGTTGTTTTGTTTTTGATGATAGAGCGGGGAAGGACTAGAACCGCTGTTGTGTTTTTACTGCCATATGGGGCTCCATTATATTCTCCCTCAATTCCTCCTTAGTATAACTGTTGTCACCGTAAATGAGTGACAGTAAATGAGGCTACATCTCTATAACAGAGCCAGGGGCGTCCCGAGGTCGGGTGTCACTCGGTCTCTAGACTGGGTGGCACCCCGCCGTGTCGTCATCGCGCATGTGTGTGATGTCCCCTCGCGCATACGCGACCATCTGATTGACGCCTGCCGGTGGCCATCTTGGTGCTGGACGCCGGCAGAGAGAGGAGGGGTTGTTCACCCGGCGGGATGAGGTATTGCGCCGGGTCCCCTGCTCTCTCCTGACACTGTCGTGCTCTCGGTCCATGACCGAGTGCCTGACTTTTTAGAGGGGGTGACACCAAAATGACTGTCAGACACCCGGGTGCGGGCCTCACCCCCCGCACCCCCTTGTGACGCCACTGACAGAGCCCTAGATAGCAGTAAGAAACCCAACAGAGACTTTCTTCCTCCTCATTTCCCCACTATCCTTATCCGAAACTAGAAAAAAAGTTTGGCTGAATATATACTTTGTGTGAAGCTTATTTTATCTGTCTGGGATCTTAGTTTATTATTTTATTTTATTTTATTGGATTTCCCTTAGTAATCTGTAAAATCTTTAAAGTAGAACTGAAGTCAATACTTTGTTTTTCTTTAGCTTTGGATAGAATAAGGATGGATTTCAAAACCTGACAGCTTTTTTTGCCCTCTGTGTCCCTTTGGATAGATTTTCCATTACTTCCTGTGTGATGGCCACAACAGGAAGTGAGAGAAAATCCTTCCAGAGTGAGAGAAATCACTGGTGATCAGAAGGGTCACCAGAACTGGTGTCTCCATTGGAAGGTTTCCCGGTTCTGGTGACCACCCAAAATCTGGGTGATAATAGTGACCAGGACAAAAAGAGAGGGTGAATCTCCATAATGGGGACACAGACAGCAATAAAAACTTGACAAGTGTTTGAATCTCTCTACACTCAATCCAAAACTTAAAAAAGATGGTTCGGCTGGCACTTTAAGGCAGTGACAGGCAATGAGACATTCCCCTTCTATAAGAACCCATTCACACTACAGCCGATATAGGTTGACAAGGAGTGATGATGTGCATTGTGGTAAGTTTTTGCTGAGCTTTTGCCTTTACCTAATGGGCTGTAGTGGAATAAAATCTTATTTTTATTGTAAACTATTGAAACATAGAAAACAAGGCTTTTTGACATGTACACACATTGGGACTGCATTGACCAACACAGTGCAATGCATGTGAAGTGAACAAGCCCTCAATGAGACTTCCACTGCTGGATTTTGCTGGAATTTCCTTTCCGATGGGTTTTCTGCAGTAATTGTCCAGGGTGTTGAAAATTCTGCTTGTGCGACAACAATCAGCTCCATCAATAGGAGGTGCTGTCTACTACACCCCTGCAAAGCCCAACCATCAGAAGGACCGCTAAAATGGACTCATTGCTGTCTTGTTCTGGACTCTGTAAGGTAGCTATAGTTGTCCAACGTTGGTTCAGATTTGATGGCCTAAGGCACCTATCGATTACCGTTCAGAAATAGCCCACGAATGGTCTTTCAAATGATAATCGATCAGTTGATGGGAACCCAACGATTTTTTTTTACTGTACTTCTGGCCGAGTTCCCTCGATCAGTCAAGCTGGAAAACTTTTTTTCGAATCGTACGAAAATCGAAGGATTAATGGCATTTTCGTACAAAACAAATGCGCAAACGAAAATCTGTTCTGACTATCGACCAAATGTGGTGAATCGGTATTGCTAATGAACTATTATCAAAATCGACATTGATCTGTGCATGATGGGGTATTCGAGCAGGAATTGAACAACGGTTCGATGAGGGCACGAAAAAAATTCAACGATAATCAATAGGTGTATGGCCAGCTTAATGCAACAATCAGCCAAGTGCTGAGCTTCACTGAGCTATGTCAGGGTTGTCGATCGTTTTTAATCATAGTGACCAAACGGATCAAAAGAACAAGATGGAAATTTTTACTCAACAAATACAATTTTAACAGTGAATCTGATTTTTGTTTGGGAAACTCCATTCATTCCAAAATCAAATGTGAGAAATCAGAGGCTATTTCAAACAACATGTGTTAAGTCTCTGATGACATTATCAAATGTTCTGAAGAGATTTTTCACATCAATGTTCATATGAAGTTTAATCCGTGTATACCCAGGTTCAGTCTCAGAAAAGCATCAAAGCAAGTCTCAGTTCACCAGATTCAAGGATCTGTTAAAGAAGAACTCCGGTTAAAAATGTTATCAACCCTTGCAGTAGACCTACCCCCTCACTGCAAGGGTTAAGTACTAATTGTTGCCTAAGGTCAAAAATAAAAAAATGTATACTCACCTGATCCTCTGAGACTGCCGACTATTAGAACGGTCCCTGGAGTTTCTCCTCCCCTCTGCTGCAGCATTCTAAGTTCCCTGAGTCATCAAGTTCTATATACATACCCTTGCTGGGGCGGAGGAGGAGGAGACAGGCAGGAGGGAGCGGTGTCACAGCTGGCCGGCTCCGAGCATCGGGTGACTATAACTTTGTTATTTTTGATGCTAGGCAAAGATGAGCATGTAACCCTTGCAGTGGAGGGTGGTTTTCAAACAGTCAATAGCATCTGATTTTTCACAGAGATCTTCCAGCTTGTTGGAAAATCTGCAAAATTCCGATGTGACCAAACTTCAGTTCTTGCCTTATTTATGGAGGAAAGGAATTATTTTTTCCACTACACATGCTTCAAGGGCATAACTATAGTCATAGCAGCTTTGGTATCTGCGACATAAGGGCCCTGGTCGGACCCCTTCACTATGCTAGTTTTCATTTTTTAAACTGCTCTTTATTCCAAGAACTGTTGTCTGGGCCTAATCAGAATAATACCTAATCAGAAAGATCTTGTTGAAATTCTCAATTCAAAACTCAGGGGGTTATTTACTAAGCTGCCAAAGGCAGCCGACTGAATAACCGAGCCGAAGTGAACTGAGCTGAACTATACGGCGATTTCAGCCGTACATCGGCTAAAATCAGCCGTACATTGGCTGCCTTTTTCTGAGCCGAGGTGCAGAAGCCATTTGACTCAGCCGATCCAACATCTGGATCAGCTGAGCCGAGCCTCCGTCAGTTCACTTGCTGCCGTTCACCCCCTATTCTCATAGGAGCAGAATGGCAATGAGTGAATAGCTGAATGCCGCCTAGCGGCATTCGGCTCGGCTATTCTGCTCGATACCTCCAAGGTAGTGAGCAGAATAAAAAAAATGTAAACAGAAGAAAAAAATTATAACAAATTATCTTAATAAATGTAAAAAAAGAAAAAGAGAAAAGAATCCGTACCAGACCCTTTAGATCTGATAGGAACTTTAAGGAGGAACCCCACCCCTAAAAAGGGGGAAAAACGTGGGAGTCCCCCTAAAATTCCCAACCAGAACCTTGATCCGAGCACAGGCCTGGCAGGGCAGGAAATAAGGGGGGGGGGCAAGCGAGCGCCCCCCCTCCCTGCCATACCAGACCACATGATCTCGGCACTGGGTGGGTGCTTTTCCAGGGTCGCCCTGGCAAAGCCCCTTGTTCCCGTGCTGATAGGAACAAGGGCCTATTCCCCGCAAGCCCTGGGGCATTGGCTGTGACGGTCTACAGGCTATACTAAAGCCCTGCCTACATCATTTATTGAACACTGCTAAAGTGCTACTATACAGTAGGTGCCATATAAACAACTTCCCACTCATTCTGTTTCTTCTCTTGAAAGTTATGCTTTAAATAGTTACCTTGAAGTACATCTTAAAGTCTTCATTTGCAGAATACAAGGCAACTGATTTTTTTTTCAAGTGTATTAAACACAATTGACAGCTGCAGCAATAAAGTATATTGCTCAATTGGATATGTTTCATTAAAAAAAGAAAACTGGAATCAACTTAGTGGTAAGTATGAATCAACATAGTGCTAGGTTCAGTGTACAGATGGAGATTAATCACCAAGGAGTGTATACACTACAGAACAGCCATGTTGTTTGCTCACTTATCACACAAGTTGCTGGTCTACATCCTTCTGCTTCTCGGGCTACACAGATTAAATTCGCAGTAGTGATGAGCGAATATGCTTTGGTTCAATTCACAGGTTGTTTGTTAAACTCATCGTAAAATTTGGACATAGTAAACTTTAATCTAAACCTAATTAAAACGGGGCAAATTTTGAAAATTAATTCTGCTAATTTTTAAAGCTAATAGGTATAGGCAAAGGGCATGGAGAGCTGGGCACTGCCCTGGGCAACATGTACTAATCAAAAAAAAAAGTTTAAAAGATAGCGTTCAACAGGGAGAGGTTCCTTGTTTGTATGCATCTTCAAGGGTGACATTGGGAAAACATCAGTCCTTTCAATTACATGCTTGGGAGATTCTGTTATGCTGTATGCGGTGTTACAGACAGTACAATTTTCACAGCCAGTGTCAGCAACACCGCATGTTGGCATTTGTGTAATGCATTAAAGGAGAACTATGGGGTCAGGGCTTTTCCCCATAGTTCTCCTTAGGGTAACGGGAGGACACAATCTAGCGTCCTCCCGTCACCCTAAGCTCAGCATACCGCGAGCTACAGCTTGCGGTATACTGAGACGCCGCAGCCGGAGCGGATATCGATGTCGAGATCCGCCCAGCTGCGTGAGTGACAGCTGGCTCTGCCTATCTAGAGGCAGAGCCAGCTGTACCTGCCCCATCTGTTCCGCCAGTCAGCGCTGGCGGATCGGAGCAGGGAGGGGGGAGAGAGCCGTGACAGGATCGAGAAGCGGGCGAACACCGGCATGTGTTCGCTCACCTCCCGATCTACTGAGCCGACCTGTGACAGTCTCATTGTCACAGCTCGGCTAGAACTATGAAGTGAGTGAAAAGTACTCACCTCACAGTTCTCCTTTAATGTAATGCATTTTTTTTCTCTTAAATTATTGCTTGGCTCTGTTATAGCATCAGCAGCACAATTTAATTCAATACTTAAAGTAAACTCTCAGGTCAATTAAACTCTCAGGTTTTTTGTGCATATATCTACTGCTAGCAAGCAGTAAATATATACAAAAACATTAAAAAAAATAAAAAAGCTACCAAAAAGGTTATTACTTACCTATATCTTCCTTGCTCGCTCCCGTCTGAAGATCTGAAGATTCTTGAGAGGCTGTGCAGGATGATGGGGTGGGTGCATGCACAGTACAGATTTCCGGCGGGGGAGAAGAGTAGAGAAGAGTTAATGCATGCAGCCGGAAGCGTGCATTTCGGACAGACACTGTGGGACACAGCAGTCAGTGCTGGATCAGAGACCGGCACCAGCACTGGAGGGATTGCTGAATACAAGTGGAAGGAAGAAGATGATCAGATAATATATATCTGTCATTACAAATGGACGTGAGATCACGGTTGGCTCCGCCCAGCTGTCATTTGTGGGGCGATCGGCCCGCTTCGGCTGTCACTTCAGCTCAGTCGAGGCGAAGCATATACCTTCGGCTCTGCTGAGCCGCTCGGCCGCCTTTGGCTGCTGTACGCAGGGCCGGTGCAAGGATTTTTGCCTACACATGCGGAAGAGCATTTTTGCAACCCCCTCCCCCCCATTTTTTTTATTTTTATTTATTTTGTAAATGTAAATGTTTAAGTGACTCATCCCTTATGGAAGGGAAGCATAGCGAGCACCAAGGCAGAAAGTTCTGGTGTGCTCTCTCTTTAGCTATAGTGCTCTGGGAATCTTTTGTTATGCAATAAATATTTCTTTAGTAGTAGTCTCTGAATATAGCGCATGTGCTATTCTAATTTAACTATATCAAAACATTAAATTTTATTGAAACATCCAATGCTAACGTCAGCATTGTTGCTTATCTTGTAGATCCTCATGACTATGCTGCCAAAACAAATCTTATGCATCTTTTGCTTCTCACGACAACTGTTTTATGGTCCCTTAATGCTTTCGCTGCCACCAAAGTAAGTTGTATATTAGCGGCAGCATGCGCTTTTAACCTCTGCAGCCCATTCTGCAGGCCCAGGATGACTATGTCGGGTATTGGTGGCTAAAAGGGAGAAAGACAAGTGAAAATTAGTTCGCTGACCTTCTGTGAATGAACCACCTGTGAATAATTCTAGGACCAGGTTTAAGGGTTTTAAAGCCTTGCTTATGATCAATTTAGACTACCGAAGTTTGTTTCCATTTCATAGATGTGCACAACTTTAAAGCGTGACATGTTTTGTCTCTATTAACTCAACACAACCTTATATACAGTATATATTATCATATGTATTTATAGGGGGGGAGTTAACTAATCTTTTTGTGTGTTTTGACATTCATGCAAAAAATGCAAATACGGCTCTGGCAGCAAATGGGTTAATGAGGACCTGTGGTTAATCTATGGACATTTAAATATTTTAAAGCAAGCAAGGGGAGGTGAGCTGAGGGTTAATTTTTACAAAGTGCCTGTCAATAAGGGTTTGTTTTGAAGCTCATCTACAGCTTGTTTAGGATAGGTAAAATGTGAAAGTGCATTACTTGGGCACAAGTTCACAAGAACTCAGAATATGAAAATCTAGCTCAGAATGCTAGCTCAGAATCTGAAAATCTATTAGTATTTGCAGAGGTGTATGGAAAACCGAAAAGTGCAAAAGTGAAGAGAAGACTTTTCTTTCATTGTTAAAGAGGCAGATATTCTGGTTGCTTGACATGGTTTTGTATGGTTTGCCACAAAGCTCCCAAATTTTCACTATGTGACTGTAAACTGTGACAGTAAACTCAAGAGTTAGTCGTTATGTATCTAGGAAAATATAAATTAACAGTGTTACAAATTAGCATTTAAATGGAGAATAACATGTGCGTAATGGATGGCATAATTCTATATGGTTTTTATGAATACAAACTGATCATAATTCTGCTATATCTATCTATCTTAGCTTGACAGACTGAAAAAATCAAAAAGAAGCAATGATGAGCATACTAAGGAGACAAGTAATTATAAAATGACACTCACCGATCACAGATTCTTGGATTCAAGTGAGAAAACTGATTTTGAAAAAGTAAGTTCAACCGGGCTTAATATTTGGGGACACAATGTGGATTTTTACCAAGCTCACACAGGCTGTTTCTGCAGTGTTTGTCTCACAACATATAAATGTATTTTCTCCTAAAAACTTTTTCTACAGATTAATAGAAATACCAGATTAGATCCTGCACCCGATAGTGAAACTCATCTACGTTATCTTGCCGATGCTCACAGCAAGCAAATCAATGAAATTTTATCACAAAATAAACTTTTGGAGAAGCAAAGAGATGGTATGTTTTGATATTTTGGTTTTATTTATGTACTTTTGGTGTTTCATATGAACAGTATGGGGTTGATTTACTAAAGGAATAGTTGTTGTTCTCTTAGTTAAGTGAATGTGGTAAGAAAATTCAATAGAAAAGAATACCCAATCATGTGCAAGGACATTTTTTTTTTAAAAACAGTATTTTTGATTGCATACGATTGGACATTGGAAGTCAGCAAAGCTTGACCTCATTCCTTAAACTAAGGGAACATCCTTGAACAGTAAAAATTCCATTGCAAAAGGAACAGTCTATTTGCCTCTATGTAATTAACGCCTAAGTGTGTATCAAGAAGCCTGGAAATTGGCTATTAGCATGTGCCCATCTTTTAATCATTTATGTGAATAATTATCTGCCACATGATGTTAGTCATTGGTTATCTGTGCTAAGAGGTTATGTACATACACTACTTAGCTGGCCATACCCACAATCAGGTGTTCAGTAATGATTCAACTATGATATGATATTTTTTTTAGATAGTTGCCTGGATGGCTTTGAGTGAGTGTTAGATGCATGTAGCTCACAACCTCATTGTTGGGCTTATCTTGGACAAACAGTCCAACATTTAACACAATGCCCATCTTCAGTCTCTGAAGGAAATTCAAAAACAGAACAGTGACTTTTCTACAAAGAAAATCTTGAAGTGCCAATAAACTCAGGAGTGAAATCTCAAAAATGCAATCAAGTACCTTAACTATTAACAAAAATGTATCTTATTTGTGTATCAATGAGCTATAGATCCTCAAATCATCTCTGAATTGGTGCTGACACTGACCTTCCTTCTGGAGGGTGGCTACTTTTGTTCCCCACGGTCCCTGTGTGTGTTGTAAAGTAACCACCGCTCCAAACTCACTCCCATGATGTACTACAATCTCACATTTAGTTTACTAATTTGTATTGAGATTGTAGTCCATCACGAGAGCGAGCTTGGAGCGGTGGCTACTTTACAACACACACAGGGACCTTGGGGAACAAAAGCAGCCACCCTCCAGAAGGAAGAAAAGCGTCAGCACCAGTTCAGAGATTATTTGAGGATTTACAGCAGAGTGATACACAAAAAAAAAAAATGTTTTATTAATAGTTAAGGTACTCTAATGCATTTTTAAGATTTCACTTCTGAGTTCAGTGTCTCCTTAAAGGTGGCTTAATTATGGCACTGATGCTTCTTCTTATAGTCAAAAGAAACAATGAGAAAGCAGCGCGTTCCGATACCCTAACCCAACCAACTGCTGCCTACACTTCCCTTCACTTTTCTTCAACTCTATTCACCTGTAGGATATCAAAATAAAAAAAAGGAACTCTGACTTTGAGCTTACACAAGGGCCATGACTCTCTTCTCATCCTCATGTGATAGTGCTAGGTGCCGCAAGACTGACCACTCATGAACCAAGTACTGCACTATGGGAGGAAGGAGAGTGAGTCACATGCTTCCCATACCCTGAAGTATCAGGTATTTAATTTTACTCATAGGGGCTGAACAAAGCAACAGGGAAGCAAAAGAAAAGTAAGTTTATTAAACTCTGGGGGAAGTGTTGGTTCAGCAGTTAACTACTTGCTGTCCGGCCAATTGTAAATCAATGGCTGGACAGCAGACACATAAGGGTGGGTGGGTGTTTATAAACGTTTTTTCCTGCTCCCACTTGCACAAACCCCCACATGTGATTGGGAGTGGAGAAGTTTGAAAATTGAAGCCTTAGATACATACAAGCATTCAGGCGGCTATGCAGCTGCCTGATCGCTTGTATGGTGCGGAAAAGGTGAGGGAAGGGTGTGAGAAGTGTGCGCCCCATTTCCACTGTCACTGCTGCTGGCTATCCCGGGCTCCGCTGTCCTCAGTGCAGGCCTGACAAGTCTCTGTGGCTGGATCAGAGGTGAGATCAGCAAACTTCCACCAGCTGATCTCCACCTCCGATCACTGAATGCTTAAGTCTAATAGACCCCTGATGTCTCTATAAAGAGGACTTAGCCCCCTATGTGATAGCAAAAAAATGAAGTGTAAAAGAAAAAAGTATAAAAATCAAAGACACATAAAAGAAAATAAAAAAAACAAAAAATGTTTTAAGTCTCCCACCCTACATACATACTCAAACATGCACACACATGTTACATGACACTGCAAATGTCAGAGTGCGGGTAATAATTTTAGGGCCATTACTCACTGTTAACACTAAACTGATAAGCAGTAAAAGCTTTTAAAACATCGTCTTTGGCCAATTTTGGGTATGACGGTTTTTTGCAATTTTGTGGGCTCACTCTATTGTAAGGCTTAAAATTAGGGATGCACCGATACATCGGCCACCAAAACATATCGGCCACAATTGTCACTTTTGGCAAAATGCTGTCAGGAAGGAGAGCGAGTACAAACACTGAGTGATCAGTGATCGCTGAGTGTTTGTAAATAATTGATAGAGTATGTTTACTTTGTCTCTGATTATGAATGAATGGGAAGTGATCTACATCACCTCCTGTTCATTCATGATTGTGGTTATAGTAAATATACTATGTGCACAAGTTATCAATGAACAGAAACATTCAGTATAGAGGATTCATGTTCATTTATAACAGGGGCTGCAGAAAAAAAGATGGAGAACTCTGTGTCCTCTATCTCTTTTTTTCTATTTTAAATTCACTTTTTTCATTTTTGGTTCGTTTCGGTTTTAAAAATTTTATTTCGGTGCACCTCTACTTAAAATGTTTGGTGCCTATTTACCCAATGTGACCCCATCTTTTATTTTTAACCAAGAAATCGGGTATGAATGTTTCTTTCTGTACTTTCTTCTTTATATAGTAAAAAATAAAAAACCCAGTTGTGATTAAATACTAACAAAAGAAAGCTCTATCTGTCCCCACAAATATTATATGAAATTAATTTTGGTACGGAGCTGCATGGCCAAATAAATGTCAATCAAAGTGCCTCAGTGCTGAGAAATGCCCTGGACAGGAAGGGGGTTTAACACCCTGGTCTTCAAGTCGTTATGGAAACCTGTTGCTTTGCCCTGCATGAGAAAGTACAGGTTCACTTGAAGCTGGAACTATTGTTGTATGGGAGTGGAGAAGTTTGAAAATTGAAGCCTTAGATACATACAAGCATTCAGGCGGCTATGCAGCTGCCTGATCGCTTGTATGGTGCGGAAAAGGTGAGGGAAGGGTGTGAGAAGTGTGCGCCCCATTTCCACTGTCACTGCTGCTGGCTATCCCGGGCTCCGCTGTCCTCAGTGCAGGCCTGACAAGTCTCTGTGGCTGGATCAGAGGTGAGATCAGCAAACTTCCACCAGCTGATCTCCACCTCCGATCACTGAATGCTTAAGTCTAATAGACCCCTGATGTCTCTATAAAGAGGACTTAGCCCCCTATGTGATAGCAAAAAAATGAAGTGTAAAAGAAAAAAGTATAAAAATCAAAGACACATAAAAGAAAATAAAAAAAACAAAAAATGTTTTAAGTCTCCCACCCTACATACATACTCAAACATGCACACACATGTTACATGACACTGCAAATGTCAGAGTGCGGGTAATAATTTTAGGGCCATTACTCACTGTTAACACTAAACTGATAAGCAGTAAAAGCTTTTAAAACATCGTCTTTGGCCAATTTTGGGTATGACGGTTTTTTGCAATTTTGTGGGCTCACTCTATTGTAAGGCTTAAAATTAGGGATGCACCGATACATCGGCCACCAAAACATATCGGCCACAATTGTCACTTTTGGCAAAATGCTGTCAGGAAGGAGAGCGAGTACAAACACTGAGTGATCAGTGATCGCTGAGTGTTTGTAAATAATTGATAGAGTATGTTTACTTTGTCTCTGATTATGAATGAATGGGAAGTGATCTACATCACCTCCTGTTCATTCATGATTGTGGTTATAGTAAATATACTATGTGCACAAGTTATCAATGAACAGAAACATTCAGTATAGAGGATTCATGTTCATTTATAACAGGGGCTGCAGAAAAAAAGATGGAGAACTCTGTGTCCTCTATCTCTTTTTTTCTATTTTAAATTCACTTTTTTCATTTTTGGTTCGTTTCGGTTTTAAAAATTTTATTTCGGTGCACCTCTACTTAAAATGTTTGGTGCCTATTTACCCAATGTGACCCCATCTTTTATTTTTAACCAAGAAATCGGGTATGAATGTTTCTTTCTGTACTTTCTTCTTTATATAGTAAAAAATAAAAAACCCAGTTGTGATTAAATACTAACAAAAGAAAGCTCTATCTGTCCCCACAAATATTATATGAAATTAATTTTGGTACGGAGCTGCATGGCCAAATAAATGTCAATCAAAGTGCCTCAGTGCTGAGAAATGCCCTGGACAGGAAGGGGGTTTAACACCCTGGTCTTCAAGTCGTTATGGAAACCTGTTGCTTTGCCCTGCATGAGAAAGTACAGGTTCACTTGAAGCTGGAACTATTGTTGTCCTCACTTTATCTTACCGGGTTATTCACAAAAGGGTGAAGAGTTTGGAGAAGGCAGGAGAACTAAACAATCTAGGACAACATAGCTGATTTGGAAAAATTCTCCAATTCAGCTCACTTTCCAGTTCAGCTATGTTCTCCTAGATTGTTCACTTCTCCTGTCTTCTCCAAACTCTTCACCCTTTTGTGAATAACCCTGTTAGTTTTATTAGAAAACAATCAGTATATTTGAACATGTGAAATAGAACCTTCTATTGGTCTACCAAACCTCTGCAGTATTCCTCAACATTAATATCCCTTGAATAGAAAACAGTTACCATAGCGTTAACCTCTGTTGTGAATGCTTTTGTGCAAGCATCTCATGCTATCATTATGTATCATAGATACTAGTGAGCAACAGAATGTGAAAAAAAAAAATATTCATCAATATTTCAAGAATATTAACAAGTTTTTATAAAAAGAAACAGTGTTTCACCTCATCAGTTATCGAATAGTACACTGGAAATACACTGTGTGGTAGAGTAAGACAGTATTTTAAAGGGCTCATGTCTTGTTTAGTAGCTGATCTTATGTGTTTTTAACAGCATTAGATCTCAATAGTGATATCATCTATATTTTGAATGCACAATCAGTAGGCTTCAACCTGTAAAATGTCACGTTCATAGAAATGCAGTTGGCATACATGGGATGATGACAAGATTACTCTAGTTTAATTTCATGTTAGATTGCTCGCCTATTGACATTGTTTGGGTTTCAATATTTTTATTAATTTCAAAGCACAAATAAAGAACAGAACAAAGTTAAAGTAATATAAAATATTACAATACTGACCAATGTCCCTCTTGTCCATTGCCTGCCGTAGTTGAAAAAAAGTTCCAGGCAGATGTTAAATACCAACCGACATTTGATATATGTATACAGTGTGATATGTGCTCTTTCCACTAAGTCCCACTCCTTCAGACATGTGTCATAAAGATAGCTGCACCAGGACTTCGTACATCACTGGAAAGGATAAGAATTGCCATTCCTTCCCAAGGAGAATTAACATTTCTTACAAGAACCCTTGCCCCTATCCTTGATCAGCTCCCTCTCTTTTCACTCTCAAGTCTATTACAAAATCCACCTGTTCATTATTTTTCATTGGAACTTGTCCTTCCTTGTGCAGGATCAGCTCCAGCACTACCTCCCTAATTCTCCTTTGTCGCCCAGCCATACTCAGCCACCCACTAACTACTTTCTGAATGGTCCACAATAAGATCATTCTTAGCCTCCTCTATCTGTTGTCCACAAGTTCACATAAGATCCACATAAGATCCTACTGCCTTTTCTGTCTTATGCTATTCACGTAAGGCTTTCTGCTTTTTTTCCCTCTCGCTTCCCCCTGTCCATGATCAGCTAACTTACTGCCTCCTGTCTCTTCCCCTTGTCCATGATTATCTTTTGACCTTATACCTCTCTGTGGTACTCACCTTCTGCCTCCTGTCTCTTCCCTCCCTAGTGAGTTCTGGTCCTTCTCTGGTTCTTCACATGTTTCATGCCATTTCCTTTCCAATTTTATCCTTTAAAGTTTGTCCTTCACTTCAAAAATGTTTCTACTTCCTATGGACAATTGTGTGTATAAGACACCCTATCAGCATTCCTTAAATATTTCCCAACCTTGTTTTTGAATGTGAACACTTTTACTCACAAGCACACACACCAAGCATGGGCTATGTAGTACCTTCTACTATGCATAATTTACGGCTTAATTTTTTCTCAGTGACTTTACACAAACAATGAACAACCAGATAAATACATGCATGCATATTGCTATTATGCTGATGCTGAATAACAAATGTAACCTGATCAATTTCAGATATTGTGCAGCGGCTGAATGAAATAACTGCTGAAAGTCGGAATACAGGTTATCTAGAAAAAATGATAAGACATTTGAATGCTCAAGAACAAAAGAATGAGCAGCTTCTAAGTACCATGAAACAACAAATAGATCTCCTGCAAGTTGGAGCAATGTAAGGTTAATATGTTATATTTATTTTTATTAATTTTATATATTTTTAATATATTTTGTATTAATTTTTAAGGTAA